CACATAATAGCAAAAAACCGGGAGCTGTTGTTTTCTTCGGCGGCGAGAAAATTCAAAAACAGCACAAAAAAAGCCTTTTTCGTCTTTTGAGAGCACTTGTGAAGAATGAGTGATTATAAATTTTTTGCAATATTTTCTAGCAAAATTTTTTTCGTGAAATCAACTTTAACGCTGCTGCACAAACGACTACTATCTGCACAGTGAATGAAATTTGTATTATTCTACTACATTGTTTAGTGAGTTATGGTCTCTCAAATTGAAGGTTTTTCCAGAAAACTTTTGGCAATCTTCAAACTATGAAATTTTTCTCAGTATCTCTTCCTTCTACCAACTTTTTGATGCCATTTTTTCAGAAATCGGCAAAGCAAAAATTTGCTGTGGCGATGTTCGTCGCGTTGCCTATCTAAGCTGTGTAGCCCCCAAACGTTAAATGAATGACAGACTTTTGAATTCTATGATTTTTATAGCCAAAAACCACCCCTACTGCTTATTCTGGATTATTTGTATATCGTCCTTTCCCAGGACTGCCTTCGGATGCCCAGCGTCAACACTGAAAAGACGTTAGAAAGAAGACTTTTTCGGAGTCTAATAAAAATTTTCTGAAACTCTTCTGCACTTTTGAACCTCTGCAGAAGCTATAGCATTCTTTCCTTAGGTTCAGCAGATTTTTCGAGCTGTTTTGTAAGCATTCCGACTTAAACGGGTGGTGACTCACTTTCGTTTTCCAAACTTGATGCTGTAAAACTTTTTAAATACCGTTGATGTAGGAAAATGAAGTGAAGATTTTGGTAAAGCAGACTCCAAGCTTTCAAATGAGATACAATTTGCAAAATACCGCTCAAAATGCTGTGAAAAAACCGAAAGAAATGGGACAGAACTTATTACACAACCTAATAGATAGTTATCAAGTTGGCTCGTTTCAAAGCTTCATAACTTCTGATTTTGGTACCCTCTTTGCTTGCTTTTATGTTTGTGTAAGAGCAAGTCAAGCCTTTTATAAAAGTTTCTTTTACAAAGAACTTGATCTTCTCTTTCAAGCTAAATTAAGGCGAGCAAATCGATGGAATATCGGAATTTATGAATTTTCGAAAATGATGCGACAGATTTCAGGCCAACCCACTAATGGACATATTGAAGCCGAATGAACGAAAAAGCATTTTCTGTTTTCTTGTCATACCAAATATTCATACCATCGATGCAGATTGCTTGCACAAAGTTCATTTTTTGGCGTCATTAAAAGAAAACCAACATACACCTTTCTTCAGTAGGCAGTTGGAAGTATGGTAAAAGTGCTCGCCTTCGTTGTTATGAAAACATCCTCTCGCTTGAGTTTTCCACTATCAAATTCTTCTTTGAGAAATTTTCCAATTATATGCTCATTGTGGTAGTGATACGCTGTATCTAAAAGAGCAGAGAGTTGACAGCAGTCAGTGGAGCGAACCCGCATACTTGTGCGGTAGGATATTTCAGAATTTTTTTTTACAAAGAATGTATCCGTTTCCAAAGTTGCTAAGCATAATTAGTTTTGACAGATGGATTTACCTAATCAGACTATAGTAGGCTCTCACCGATTAAGCGATAGCCGCTGTCGAAAGCTGTCTGAAGTGCCGCAATGAGCTCAGTTTCGTTTGTGGCCTTGAAAGTAAAAAAGTTTCTTTTCTTCTCATGTCTCGTATAAATAAAAAGATTGCTATTTGAGTCTGTGTGTGATGTATGAATCAGTGAGTTTGGGACTGAAAAACGACTCCTAGTATCTTAAGCAAAGAGATGTAATTTTTCTTATTAGAGCTAACAAAAGAAGCGTGTTTAGCCAAAGTGGAGTTTTTGACTGGGACTTATACCACTTTGACGAGTATTGCACGGTGGCTCCAAATCTGCCTTCATTATCTGCTAAGCGCCGCTGGACGCCGAGTTAGGACCATTTTTGGAACGGAATGCAAAATTTAGGTAAAAACAATTGTTGCAGTCTTTTCAGCGCTCAGAGAGAGAATGTTAAGTATCAGCATATTAGACAAAATATATGTATTGCATGAAATGCTCTGAAAATCGACACAGGACCATTTAAGCAAATATGGGCGATTCCAGTCTTGCGTTCAATTTTTTGACCCGAAAAACGCCTATAACTCGGCGTCCAGAGGCGCTTGGCAGATAATGTAGGAAGATTTGGGATCTATGGGTCTCATCTGAAAAGGCCACTTCAACTATACACGCTTCCCTTGTAAGTTGGCTTTGCCGAACTTTGCAGTACTTATATAGTATTTATAGTATTTATAGTAGATTTATTTACCGTATTTATACCTAAGTCGCCTCGTGACTCACAAGGAAAGTGATTTTAGTCAAAATGACCTTGCAGGAGTTTATACTTCTCTACAACATTAAACGCTAGCTTCAAATCTGTCATCGGTATCTGCTGTGCACTGAAGTGTGTTATAAACAATCTTTGGAGAGAAAAAGAAAGCAAGTGTAGGCAAAATCAATCAAATACCGCTCATAACTTGGCGTCTAAAAGCGCACAACATGAAGATGGATTTGAGTTTGGGTTCATTAATCTTTAAAAATGTAGAACTTTGCAGAAAGCCAGCGATTAAAAACATTTTCCTTGTTAGACATATATACATGTCAAAATTATCTAAAGGATCACAACATCACCTGCCATGTGCCCAGGCCAAGAATGGGGATAGAAGCACCTGTGGAGAGCTTGATTGTATCTACTTCTGCCTGAATGACACTAAAATCAGATCTAAAATTTTCGAGATGAAAAACCACTCAATGTTGTTTACCGTGGATAGGAGCAAACATTTGCCAAAAAGAAGTAGTGTGAAAATTTGTAAATTCATCATGTGGTACTAGGATATAACCAAAAAACAGTCAAATAGTCGGAGACCTGACAATAGGTCTTCTAAACGATACAGATGTTACAACGGGTGTTTGTTTGTTGCTTTTGCAAGTGACAGACGGTTACAGTTTCTGTAATTAATGGCAATTATTTGCAAATTGCGCTCAATGCAGTGTGATATCCTTGAAAACATTGCAAAAAGTACCAGCTGCACCTTGATTGTTTGCATGCTTCCACATTAATTCATCAACATTAATTCATCATCCTTTTACATTTACCTAGTTGACCGTTCGCCATTAAAATTCTAGTGCTGTCAAAGTGAACAGCAACAGGTCACATCATTTTCGTTTCCATAATTCTGGGAAATGTGCTACTTGTGACGACTTAACTGAAAAAAAAACTGTCAGCATCCCTTGTGCAAGAACAAAATAAAGTGCTTGCATGCTCAAAGACCAACAAGTGAATATAAATCTGGTGAAATGTCGCGAAAAAGTAGTGGGCATAATTTATCAACATATTCGTAATGACTTCGCTTTACAGCCGCCTCTTTTGGCGAACAAGTACTTGTAAATAAGAGAAATTTTGGAGAATGCAAGAGTCCACATTCACGAAATGCGAAAATAGACATGGTAAAGTTAAACACTTCATTAATCATTGTTTTTGTTAAGGTCACATCAGTCGAATACAGAAGAGAAGACAAGACGGGAACCAATTTTGAAAATGCTACATACTTCCAAGGCATGATTGACCAAGCATAAGTTGTTAATTGAAACTGTCGTGAAGACTTCAAGAATAGTAGGGAGCAAATTAATGGCATTTTTGAAAACTCTGTGGTTTACTAAAATACTTTCGTGATGTTACATCTATTCGAGCTTGCATACCTATGCGGGATAGACAATGTTGCAAGGGCTGTAAATTTCTGGTATGTGTTAATTTTTCGTTAATCTTTGCTTGTGCGACTTTTTCTTCCTCCCTTGCCAAATGTGCCAAATAGAAACTTATTTTTTCTTAGACGTCCTATCTTAAAGATTTCAATTCAATTAAAATGATGGCTGTGACATTTTATCTAAGCAAGTTTTTTCTCTAACCCATTTTTTTGTAACTCCTAGCGGCTATGACCATCAGTAAACGATAAACTGTTTTCTGCTGAGAATTACGTTATCTATCAAACATTAGCTCCCTAATAACTTTTCGACTGCACTTCATATTCAGCAATCGCCCTTTGGTCTTTCTTTTATGTTACTTAGTATGACTAGATGTCGCGCTACTTGCAAAGTTGTCAATCATTGAACCGTTTGTAAAAAGTGTTAACCGTTCCAAGACCACCACAAATGCATTTGGATCCAGTATGTGTTCGCGGAACGTGCGGTGAATAAAATACAAATAACTTACTTTAAATTATGTGACTCACATTCCGGATCCGTGCTATCCACTATAACACCGTTGATGGAAAAACGATCATGATAAAGTGAAAGTATTTTTAGAAGAAAGAGACACTCTTTCGTTCTTGGAAGTGCTCATGTTCACAGTGCACTTTGCAGCATAAATGATTCAGAGTATCGAAAATCATTGTTAGTAATCGGTTTCAGCACAATACACCAGGATACTCCCTATTCACAGTGAGACTCCTAATTTACAAGACCAACATTTTCTGCACGACTAAATGCTGTGTTCATGGCATAGTTGCACTATCTCCTCACTAGTTGGTCAAACCTTCCAAACGTAGCAAAAGCATTTCAGAGTTTTTGTCAGGACGCAATATCAAGACAATAGGTGAATCTCAAGTACCCTCACCTAAAGAGTTTTCCAAATTCTAGAAAATTCGTTATCGATCCGCAAAGCTCATTTGTTGTTAAAGTAGATTATAAAAGGTTTCGCATGGTGATTGGAGTTGTTAGTGCTTACGTCAACGTCACTTCATTTTGAGGGTTACCATTTGGATCGAGTTCTGTAAACGGATTTTTTGTGATGGTAATCAATCTCTTCTATAGAAGATGCATTTGGCTTCGTGACTGTCCCTAAAGTCATCAATAGTGTCTCCTTATCAATCAGAACCTTTGAAGATTCAGTATATTCTTGCGCAAATGATTGCTAAGTCAATCGTTCTGCCAAGAAATCTAAAAAGTGTCACTGTCATCTTCAGAGATTTTTACAGTACAATGCTTCACACTCAAACAAATTTTTATTCAGTTCTACTCGTCTTTCTAAGGGGAACTGTTGAAATGAGGATGCACCAGTTTGATATCACAGCACTAGCACAGCCAGTCCAAGGCACTTTTAAAGAGAATAAACAGAAAAGCCTTTTAGGGTTTAGGTTGTTTTGGGTATTTAGACTTGTCCACGTCAGCGAATGGGAAGAACGGATGTTCAAATGAGCTGAAAAACAAACAGTCTTACTTCCTATACTAATAAACGGACTCAGTAAATTAAACAAAAGTGAACTTAATTCTGTATCACTTACAAGGGCCAGATGAATAAGCGAGTTCTTGTTTTTACCTCCTTGAGCTTAGTCATCTCTTCATCGGTCAGCGTAAAATCGAATATGTTTATGTTTTCCTTTATACTAAAAACATGGTCATCAGCAGTAAACAGGCGCAGGAGCTCGTGTTCAACTTACTGCTCTGGTTTCACACTCTTAGGTATGGCAATCCTGCCAAGTTGGATGAGATAACGTAATAGAATCTGTGCTGGCGTTTTATTGTGATTTTGGGCAATTTCTTTCACAACAGGATCCGATAGAGGGTCGCCGTCTGGCCATGCCATCTCTGGGTGTTTAGCCTGGCATGACCCAGTCACTCAGCTATCTAACTACCCTTTGAGTGATAATTTGGACATACTTTTCTTCCTGGGGATCCAAGTGGTGCATAGGCCGTGAATGAAATATTGAGTTTTTGGCATAACTCGTACAGCTCATCTTGCGGCCAATACAGATGGCATTCTACCTGAACAATGAAGTGCATGCAAGCTTTTCTTTTTCATATCGCACAGGTTGAGGGGCGGGGTCAGGATGAAAATCGAATTAGGCAGTAGACACTTAACCGCGATAAATTAATTCAGAAGTTACAGAAGTTTTGTGTATTCGCACAGCTTGTCAAATTCTTGAGCCTAAAAACTAAAAACTCTTTCTGCAGTACTCAGGCAGTCGACGGCATACCTCCAGAGCGAAAATGGGAGGGTCCCGGGCTCTACCCAGCGGGGGTTTGCCACTCGTGCTTCGGAGCCCTCCATTTCACCCATTTTGGTGCTCCGGGGGCTCTTCCAAATCTGGCGCACCTCCAGAGCAGAGATTTGCGAGCCCCGCGGAGGGGTCCCATTCGCCTTCTTGTGACGTCACCTTGAGCACCAAAATGAGTGAAATGGGAGGGCTCCGGAGCACGAATGGCAAACCCCCGTTGGGCAGAGCCCAGGACCCTCCCTCGATTGTTTGAGTAGGTTGTAGTCCTACCCTCTTTGAGATTGTGCAGGATTATAGTTTCGAAAAATTGGATTGATGTGAAAAAGTGAGACTATTCATGTCCTCCGATTATGCAGTAGCGATAGCAATATCGATAATTTACCTGCAAGTTAGCCGGTTTGATGCGTGCGTTGTCGTATACGTTTTGAAGTTGCGTAGCATTGAAGTTTGACAAACCTATGGCCTAAAAATACACTCTTTACACAAGTTGTATTCTCGTATGTGTATATGGGCTTATCTTCAATTTTCCTTCGTCATGTAATTTTTCTAAGGCTTTCCAGGTATCAAGGTGGTTGACTGTAATCGGCGTGAAGGTGTCATTATCGACCTAGATGGGTAACACTCTCCTACTTATGTTCTGTTACTGCATATTTTATTTGTTTCCGTATTCTAAAATTATAAGTTGAAAGCAACCTACTTTCCAAGGCATTGGACTATGCATAAGGTAGAGATCAATGTAATCCATCTGTAGTGCCTTCAACTGTCCTTCCACACTCTTTTCGACATCATTGGGATCATGTGCTCCCATTGACAGCTCAAAACATTATTATTCTAACTAAGATTGATTATGAGTAGGAATTGGAGATAGTGGTAAAGGTTGAAGGGTTTGCTTCAATAATCGTTAAACTTTCCAAACTTTTGCGACTCATCCTGTGCATGGAGCCCCCCCCCCCCCCCTCTCGCCCGAGAAGGGGTGCAGTTTGGAAGTTAATTACAAGGGATGTACCAGAAGTCGCAGTGGCCTTTTGACATGAGATGGGTATTATCTGAAGCAGCTTGCAGTGCTGGTTTCAGAACAACTTTTTTTAGCCGCAGAACGAATCTGGGTCGGAGACTATTGAAATTACTTCGGAGTAAATTTACAACCTATAACCAAGACTAGCAAAACTATTGAGGCCCATTTCTCAACCATAGATGAAACAATTTATCAATGCTATGTATTTCTACCCCCTCTTCATGTTATGCTTTGATGCTAAATAAGCCTTTGAACATTTCACTGTCCACAAGTAATGACAATGCAGAATTTGGTGATTAAAATACCCATAAATCACGAACCAGACTCCTTCTGCAGCTATGGAAAGCAGTTTTGGAATCAATATTCAAGCTGCTTCAGATAACACTTATTTTATGTAAAAAGTCCCTGCGACTTCTGACACTTCCTTTATTGGATGAGTTATAAAGATGTGCAAGTTACTAGCATCCCAAATAAATTTTCGGAGTGCTTGGCTAACATCATTACCTTTGTTTGAAAAAATCCCCCCCCCCCCGCCTTTTTAGAATGGAAATCCTAGGTCACTGCCTCTAAGCGCATGCGCCAGACGTTTTCTACCTTGTAATCGAAAAGGCAGTTGAAACGTGCGAGCCTCTACATGACTTGCGAGAACCAGCCGATAACAAGCCAGCTCTTTTATCCTCTCTTATTACTCTAGTAACTATTTACCGTTCTCGTAGGGTAGAATGGTCAAGTGGCACAGGCGCTGGAACAAACCTTAGTTTAATTTGGTCATAGCGGCGCCTCATTACCACTAAGTTATCTTCTCTTAGGCAATAGTCTAGCTAAGAAGTACCATTTATCAAAAAAATGACACATCCAAATTTTTGGTAAAGATCCTCAGGTGTTCCACTCAATTTTTGAAGCCAGATTTTGAATATATTTAGCTGTCTCCAACATTCGAAGGTTTGGTCAAAGATATCAGATCAAGCCAATGTCATCATCCAAAAGGATATGATAACAGCAAGGGGCCCGGCACGAGGGTGGCAAATGGACACTTGAAAATCTTCGTCTTTGCTTGTTTCTATGTGAATGAAAGTTCTGCCGCCCTTGGAATGGCATTAGAGTGACACCTGCCACTGTTTAGAATGAAAAGTTGGGAACGCTTCATTCACATAAGCTTATAAACTACCAGTGCGTCACCTCTGCTTCGCAGAGGCTCGCACTGGCTCTACTATCTAGGCCCTACTCATTCTCGCATAATGATGGCATTGGAACTCACCGAGCAATGCCGACTATCACGAACAAAATGTAAACAACTACTCATTTTGAAAGCTTTTTTATGTGAAATCGGTGATTTTGTGTAGATGAGACTTTTTGCAGGAGAACAAACGCAAATTTCTAAGGGTTGACTTTTCCATGGTCTTGACAGTTGCAGTAAGAATAGCAGTCACCGTGAGCTACATCTTTGTGCAAAAATCTTGTCAAATGGTCTGGTAAAACCTTGGCAAATTGACCATTTACGCAACCAATACTTTTGGCGCCGTCTTTTCAAAGAACTTTTGAGAACTTTTTTGGGTCTAAGTTCATGATTTGCACTTTTACTTGGCATAAACATCCACTACTTTGCAAAAAGTGGAAATACGGACCCAAATATGCGGCCCAAATGCAAAGTGGATCCGTTTGACGCGCAGTTTCCGAGGGATCCACGCAACGAAGCTGCTCGTGCTTTTGCGTGTTGGACTTTCATGCGGGTAGCATGCGCTGTGCAAAATTTGAGCCCAGGAGGTAGGCTAGAACATGCTCTACGAATTTCGTAACAGACACACTCACAGACACACACACACACACACACACACACACACACACACACACACACACACACACACACACACACACACACACACACACACACACACACACACACACACACACACACACACACACACACACACACACACACACACACACACACACACACACACACACACACACACACACAAAGTCACGTAAACATCCTTAGCCCGTTATTATAAGTAATGATAGTTTATATACTTGTTTATGGTTAGTCGTTTATATACTTTCCTTTATCTTATCTCTGCGCATATGCAGAGATTTAGAGAAATTTAGAGCCATTTCATTGCCTATGCTTTGCAAACCAGTAGTCATTTTTACAGTTCTCAGTAAGAAGCTTGCTAGTTCAGTTACAATAATTCCACAAACTTTCAAATTTAGTTTTTTTGTGCCTTGTCATTCTCTGAACTCTGTGGCTAAACAAAAAAGTGGGGCAGCTTGATTTACATTTTGAGATTTTTTGTTTCAATTAACAGCAAACAGGCTGCAGCTTAATCGCCGCTTACATAAGCGATCTTCGCATATTATTCTGTCAGCACGTTACCGCTCCTCACAACACTTGGCGTGGAGCAGTGAAGAACTCGGCAAAGGTTATTGAACATTTTCCAATGCGCTGCTGTACCGTAACATCATAAAGCAATGACATACAATTTCAAAGAGCTCTTCAAGTTTCTTCTAAAAATTTATTGAGCTTACTTCCAGACAAAAAGCAAAAAAAACGTATAGATGCGCGGATATTTTATTATATTTTGGCGCAAGAAACCGAAAGTTCTAGTTTCAACCTATATTCTCCAAAGATGAAAATTGAGATAAACTGCATGAGAATTCATATAGCGTAAAGAGCTCTATCAGACTGTAGCCAGAAAACAAACTTGTTACGAAGTAATTAATACGCATCATCGTTTCCGAAACTGCTAATGACCTTATCTCCTGAATCAAAGCATTGTTTTCGAAAAGCCGTTGTGGATTTTTTGTGGATGTGCCCTCATCAATTGCAGCAGTGGTACTTAGGATAGTCTTACATGTTACACTGCACCAATACTGCTCTTTGCATTTCCAATATCAAAATTACTTACTTAAGTGATCTTATATAGGTATTGCCTGGAAGAGAGTAATGTGTTTTACAATACATCTATCAAGATTGGAAACCTGACTCACTTCTCTTGCTTGAGAAACCTATGGTTACTCTCTGGGCGTCCCAGTTTTTTCCGTTCACCCTAATATACGTGTCGTATCATTATTTGTGTGTTGTAAACGAATTCGCTCTTTGTTATTTTGTGCAAAGAAAACGTTTGCAACAACCGCGGCTTGAGCAAGGTCGTATTTGAGCACGTTTTGTGTAGAAACGTGTTTGTCACAGGTTCGAACAAATTTGAGAGCCCCCTAGTGCAGATGAACGTGTATTTACTCTATCCCTTCGTTTTTTCTCCCTAATTCAATTTCTAGCGTGAAGAAACAAAATGAACTGTAAGTATGCAGCCGCCACACTTTTTAAATCCTTCTATGCAAAATTTGCAATCAATTACTGAGGCGCATAAGCATATAGCATTTATTCTTGTTCTTTCACAGCAATAGTAGCTCGTTTACTTGGGCAATCCCAATTTTGTATTCACATTTTGCACCTATCTCGTTCTCAATTTTCAGCCAGGAAATAGGGTTAAAACATGAATGATCCAATGATTTTAGCATGAGAGTGACCAGATAGAAAATTAAGAGATCTTCAAGCTGAAATCCATTTCTTTGTATTTTTTGAGTGTGGCAAGTTTTGCTTGGATCTCTACTCGTATGTATGTCTAGTACTTGATTGAATTTGGCGGGAAGCATCTCATTGTTTTGCTTCCTGCAGTATCTTCAACAAGCTGTTGTTTGTATATATGCTAATCCTCAGTGACCGACATACATCAGAATATATGTATTAGTTGGTCCGAAAGTTCTGGCCCACCATTTTCAAAAAATCATAACTTCTTACTAAAAAAATGGTTCTGCATGGCTAAAACCATGTTGAAAAGAGCAATTCATGCGCTTTCTAGAAACGTCTTGGTTGCTATTTAATAAGCTCTGATTGCAGAGATAAAATTGGGAAAATGAAATTATCTCAAGTTTTGAATTTCTAAGCAAGCAGGTTAAAAAATCTAAAACTGTGCCATAAAATCCATTACAGCAAATATCCTAAATTTTTTAAACCCCTCTTTCTAGCTGAGCAAAATTTGCGCTGATCGAGCTGTTATTTTGGAAGTTATGATTTTTTGAAGAAAATGTCAAAAAATCAATTTTCTTAAGAAACTGATTTTTTGGCTTTTTTTTGAAAATCATAACTTTTCTAGGAAGAGCTCCATCAGCGCGAATTTTGCTCATATAGAAAGATGAGCTCAGAAAACCTAGGTTAATGGTTGTTTTGGATTTTATGGCACAGTTTTAGATTTTTTAACCTGCTTGCTTAGAAATTCAAAACTTGAAGTAATTTCATTTTCCCAATTTTATCTCTGCAATCAGAGCTTATTAGATAGCAGCCAAGACGTTTCTAGAAAGCGCATGAATTGCTCTTTTCAACAAGGTTTTAGCCATGCAGAACCATCCTTTTAGTAAGAAGTTATGATTTTTTGAAAATGGTGGGCCAGAACTTTCGGACCAACCTAATATGATCTTATTTTCTTCTCAATCATGTTCATCCCTACTTTCTGTGATGTGAAAAAAAAAACAACTCTGGCTGGCTGATTTCAAGAAAAAAGAAACATTCAAGTTAAGTTTTAGTCGTTCAACGTTGACTGTCAAAATGCTTGTTCGCCTCACTTCCTGGCAGTCAGTAAATGGAAATGTTTTTTCCTGCCCCTTAACTAGCAGTTGTGCCTTCAACCCTTTTGAGAATGTATATTAGAATAGGCATTTTTCTCTAGTACTATAACTCAGTCTTGTAGAAGAAACCTACCTTTGATGTAATGAAAAGATCCTCTCTTTTGACTTTACCGCTATCAATAAGTTCCTTGAGAATTTTTCCTATGGCTTCCTCATTGTGGTAATGATAAGCAGTGTCTGAAAAGCAAACCTCAGGTATCGCAAAAATGCGTGATATGGTCAGCAAATCCAGAAAATTCTATGAAGAAAATTGTGATGCTTCTTAAGTGACGGCGACAGGGTGAACACCAAAAATGAAGGATTGACGTTACATTTCGTCGACGAAAACAACAAGCTAAAAACTGATTTTCAGACATTTGCGCAAATCATAAACATGTAAAGTTTATCGAAGTCTAGATCAGGTTGTTCCGAATTTTGGATCTTCGCTTCACCACTTGGGCAAGATATGAAAGCACTTGGAATTGCTCGCATGTAAATAGTCATATTTCTATGGCTAAAAAGAAAAATGATAGGATCAACAAACGAAGTATTGTGTTGCCTCACTTGAATGAAAGTAACAAATCTCTGTATGTGAAACTTTCAGCTAGACCTTTGTATATGCCCCCGCCTTGCAATATTTTAGCATGAAGGATCCCCGGATAACGCGGCTATTTCGTATTTTCCGCCCAGTTGGTGCGGGTTTTTCATTTTACGTCTCCTCCGTTTTCAAACGAGGGAAGCAGTATGGAGGAATATTAGTAGTCCAAAATGTCACAGTACAGCGAAACTTCAAACAGGGTCGTCAACGAACGCGAATTCGTTGTTTTGGAGTGGAATTTATAATAAGGTTTAGCATTGTATGTACCAACTCATGTTGATCTATCAAAAAAGTTGTGTGAACATTTTAAGGTCCATTTTCGGTAAATCGCTTTCCCCAAGCTTTATGGACCTGCGACCTGTGAGGACCTGGATACCTAATGGTCGTTAGATCTTGCTATACATTCGAATTCTGCCGCATTCACATTTTTCGGTGGTCACCCTGTCGCGGTAGAATAATAGCTACATGATAATTATCTTCTCAACGCTTGATATGTATTGTCTTTTTTATTAAATTTATCTTTACTTACTGATTTCAATTGTTATTCTAGCAAAACTTCACACACAAAAAAACAGTAACTAAGTTTGATTGATCTTACCAATCAGACGATACCCGCTGTCAATCGCAGTCTTCAATGCTTCCCTCAACTCATTCTCGTCGTTAGCCTGAATACCACTATTGCCTTTGTTCAAAAGTCATGTGACCAATCTTTGGATCGCAGCTATGGTTGCTGCTGAGCCAGAAGTTTTCTTACTCGTTTCATTTCGCTCCTCTCTAGTTTTTGAATAAAGTACTTCTCACAAATAGATCTTGAAAAAACTTTTAAGCTCAAAAAACTTTTTGAGAATGTCACGTCGCAATCGCCCTCCATGCGCAAACCCTTTGGTCCATTCCTTACAAAATTATTCGGAAGCTACTACTGGTTGGTATCTTCTTTAAAACTGTTAGGTAAAAAGAACCTGCCAGGTTCCCAAGCCAAGAACGGGGATTGAAGCACCTGTTGAGAGCTGTATTGTATCTACGGCTTCCTGCAACCAAACAATTGGATCTCATCAGTAAACTGCACATTGGTGGTTGAAAAAAATACTCCTCACCGTAAGAAAGTTTCCTGATATACCGAGCAGAAGCAGAATGGCTGATAGGAACATCTGTAGGGATTATACAGCTTAGGATCTCATGTTACAATTTGCGCTTCAGCGCGCTCTAACTCAAACCAAAAAGAAAATTCGCAATTACAAAAATTGGTTCGAATCTACCTTGGAGGAGAAACAAAGTGACGAAGACCAGTGCAAGTGTTACAATAGACTACTTGCCGGTTATTTCGCTTGCAAAATGTAAACGGTTACAGTCATCGTAACTAATGGCCATAACTTGCAAACTGTACTCTGTTGGAGTGTAACAATATTCGAGGAAACCGTAAAAAGTCTTTGTCACACCTATCAATAATGAATCGGGCTCACTAAAATTCATTATCAATATTGTCGAGAAAAATTTATTAATAGTAGAACCTTGCTTTGAACTTCACACGTGTTTTAGATACGGTCACTTTGGCGTCTCTATCAAAACCAATTTGGCACTTGAATGTACAAAAAAAGAGACTTTACATAGCAATATTGCAGGGGTCTAAAAAAATATGCTGAATATTGCTGAAGCACTTGTCAAAATTTTACGAGCTACAATCTCGTAATTGAACGACAAATTTAAACCAGTTTATCATTTGCAAAAGGAAGAAAAAACAGCCGTCCATGCTTGCGAGATTGGATTGGCGTAGTGAAGTCAGTAAAGGAGTTGAATGTTACAAAGACAAATGATATAAAGGTGAAAAACGCAAAGAATTTCCTACTGGTCAGTCTCTCGATCAGTTTCCAATTCTCTTCAGTTCAATATGCTTTTTTGTAGAAAATATAAGGCTTACTGATAAGTTCGGTCGTTTTCAGCGGTTTGTAGAAATGTTACAGATAACCATGTGTATGAATAATGGTAGCACTGAAAAGAGTAAGGAAAATTGGTTGTTCAACTCTGCAAATTCAAAAATCATTTGTTCTTATTAAGAAATCATGCAGGAAAGTAGAATACCCAAAATTTCATGAAATTTTCGCAAAATTGCACCAGACAACAAGCTGGGGCTGGGTGTAAAACGCAAGAATTTTACGCAAATATGCGATTATGATCTTTCCTACCATTTGCATGGCCATGGATTGTCAATCAAGCCATCTGGATCGCTCCGAAGTTAACATCCATATCCAACCATCCATTAACATCAGGGTCCGGCACAAGTCGGTTTCTCGGGATTTTGAAAACGAAGTCTCCCCTGACTTTCGGGAGCTTTACTAAGTCACATTTGACCTAACTACTTAGGAGAAGATGAAAACAAGAAAGATTTACTAGTCTGAAGGAAAAAACGATTAAGAGTGAAAATCCAAACTGGAGCTGAATAATACGCATGCACAAGAATTTGGTGTTGAAGCCCGATATTTAATGAAGCGATGCATAAAAAAATTAAGGCAAAAATAAAACAAAGAAAAAGCAACGATATGGAGATGTCTTCATGTTCAGGGGTAGATTTTTGACCGGTGAATCCGTCCATGATAGAAAAATCCAAAACTTATGTGAAGTGATAGAAATATAGCTCCAGACGATCTCAGATCGTCTGGTGGCCGTCTGGAGACGGACTAATTTTCAAAAGGTAATACTTCACATAAGTTACCAAATCTTTTTGCATAATTCTTTTGCAAATAACTTTCTATGTATACAGTTCAATTTTGGTGTCATATGCTTCTGTAAACTAGCAATTTGTTTATTTTAGCCTTGTTTCAAATCGCGCGCACTCTTCGCCATACACGATAGAGCATGTCAATCGTGTGATAACCTGTCCAAAAGCTTGTGTTCGACACAATGAAGCTTATTCTTGGTGCTCGGCCCCGACTCGTCAAGAACGATATCTCCTTTGCTTTTCGCTCCAAAAACGAAGTTCAGCCTGCTTCCAGACGGTCTGTGCCGGGCCCTGATCAACATCCATCCAAGTTCATGGACAACAATTCACAGTCTTCATTGTGATTTGCCATGTAGCCAGAGATGTATTCAATAGCCAATTTACTCGTCTATGCCTCACCCTAACTTGAAAACGAGACTTAAAAAGTCGACTTGAATAACTACTAAACTACTACCTTGAATCATTACTTAAGAATAAAGCGCTTAGACCGTATGCCTGTTTGTCTGTCTGCGTGTGTGTATATCTGTCTGTCAATTCATAGAGCGGGTTGCAGCAAAAATCTCAAGCAAGAATTTTGCACAACGCACGTCACCAGCATGTAGATCCATTATTCAAAAGCACGAGCGGACTTGCTGCGTGGAATTTACGGAAACTGTGCATCAAACGGGTCCACGTGAGTTTTGAAGCGCAAAACCAGAGCCATACAATACCGCTCATAATTCGTCAAAAAAGTCGCCGGACTGCGGCGCATTCCGCCACACTCCGGCGCAGTGCGCCGGAGTGTGGCAGAGTGCGCCGCAGTCCGGCGATTTCTTCGACGAATTATGAGCGGTATTGTATTTGAATTTTTCACAAAGTCAAGAATATATTTGACATGTATAACTATAAGCCAGTGACTTTAGCCTAAAAAGTGACCAAAATTCTTTTACTTTACGAATACGGCGCCAAAAAGTATTGGTTGCGTAAATGTTTGATTTGCCAAGATTTTACCTGATCATTTGTGAAGATTTTTGCACAAAGTTGTAGCCCACGATGATTATTGTCATCAAAGCGACTATCAAGCTTGAAAAGTCCGAAACCGATTTGAAGCTGCATCTGCTCTTCTGGAAAGTCTCATCCATGCGAAATTAGCGCGAAGTAGACATCCAATCCCCACAAATTATTCATTTCCTGGATGCTCTTAAAGTGGAGATTCTGACCAATGAAGTCGCAACCGATTTTATAAAATTCTGAAAAGTTATGAGCATTTAAAGCTCAAAAACAAAATTTTCACTTGTTTTTTCAAGGACCTGGCTTTTGGCGGAGTTTAACACGTTTCGACCGCGAAATCGCGCGCGGAGAAAAAGAGTGTACTCTTAGCCGTTAGACATCAAAGGAACCTTATTTCAAGACTGTGTGCTACATCTGTAATCAGCTGTTAGATAAGCTCCATACCCAAAGTTCTGAGTGAATTCGAAGTTTTTGAATTCTGTCGCTTGAGAAGGACTTCTGTGCTTTCTTGAAAGATAGGAACAAGAACTCAGTTTCTAACAGTATCCAAAAGTATCTATGTTGTACACGCTACACATCATTATTGAAACTCCGGTTTTTCTCTTCGAAATCGGAGCAAAAAAAAAGTTGCAATCGCGCTCGTCGTTCGCGTTGCCACACTTCGTTGCGACTGTTGTTCGATTTGTCCCCATATCTTCTAAACAAATATCGGCGGCAGCTCTACAGAGTCATTTGAAAGGGAGGAGCTTAGGCCTTTGACTTAATAACCTTGAAAAGAAAACCTCCTGTAAACGTGAAAAAGATCCTTCAAAGTCGCATGCTGCACCATGTGCAGCACCGGTCCGAAAGTGTTAAATAGAACATGTACGACTAAGGTTTAGTTTGATAGGGCAAAGTATGAAGTCGCAACATCACACAGCTTCACATCAAAATTTGTAGGAGTTGAGTCAGCTGTCAATGAGCGACCTCACATTGCGCATTTTTTTGAAATTGGATCTCTGCGATGAACTCTTAGATCAACATGCTTTTTTCACCATCTAGTAGAGAAACACTTGCCATTCAAACTTATGAAGCCGCAGTTGCTGACTTCTCCATAATCCAGATTTATAAAATTTGCAGTTTCACATGGGGGGGGGGGGGGCAGCCAACATGAACGATAGCTTGTGCCAGCCATATGCGTTGCATAGGTCACATATTTTCAAATTCTACATCTAGGCTAGGATTATGTTTAAGAATGATTTTTCTTCACCTCTTTTCCGCAATTTATTCACTCATTTTGGTTCTCTCAATTACCATTAAAACGTATTTTCTTTGAGGTTCGTTAGAAGAAAATTTACTCAATAAAAAAATAAAAATAATAATAAAAAGTGCCCTGAGTCTTACTTCCGTAAAAAATTATCTTTGCGGTTGTACCATCGTGTTTGTGGCCCTAAAGAGTACAGTTGGGTTAGAGCTTTAAACACGAAAGTCTTCTTCGAAAAAGCTTCCGTTCTCCAACCGTAAGCAGTGTTGAGCTTAGATGCGTGCGCTTAGCAGGTAGTGGCGAGTTCTTGGAAATAGTTGTATGGGAATGTTATCAATTTTTTTTCTTCGCTGTTTCGCTTATTATCTTTTTTATCACTCAGCGAAAAATTTTCCAGGTCCAAAGTGAAGGTGGCCACCCTCTATCAGCTCAAAAATCTCCCGTGCGGAATGGCGCCATTGGTAGCAACGAACTGGAAAGAGGGGTTCGCATATGTCCTTTCGACTTCAGTGCTTCCTCTTTACCCCCCCCCCTCACCACCTCCTTCACTTTTAGCGGTCGGTGGTAGTTGGGACCCCTTCACTTAAGGGGTTTCGGCTCCCTTATCGCACCTCTGCTTCAAAACTGCATGACAAAGCAAAATTGCTCAATAACCTAATACGACACTTTTGCTCGTCAAACAGAATATAAAGCTTTTCGAGAAAAGTAGAAATATTTTCAAGAACCTGAATATGTATGAAAAGAAATGCTTATAATTATCTTTCAAGCTGCAACAAACAGCGGTACTGTCTTTAATAATCTCTCCGGGAGTTCTGCTTGTATTCTGGTTTGGGCATAAAAATACGTACTGTAATGCGCAGAATGATTGATTTGGTTTCAGTAAAACCCCATCATTTTTTCCTCAAGGTCGCCTAGAAGTCGTATTTCAAAAAGTAGTACATACACGGGACTGATAGTTAAAAGTGTTATTTGGATTGCATTCCTTTCCGAAACACTGACTCAAATCTATAAAATTTGTTATCCTGTCGGTTCCTACAGATAAAGAAGACACCTGTGTAGAATGATTTGACTAGAAAGGGCTTCTTTTACATTTGTTTTGCTGTCATTTTTTCCATATTCTGAATACCTCGGGCATCGACACAAGATTGATATGAAGTCGGCGCAGAATTAGGTAAAAGCTGCACACATCAAACACTTGTAGCCTCCACTTCCCAACATTTTCCATTTCACTCAATCTCCTCTTCAAACAGCGGTAAAAAGGATAGCAAGCCTCTTCGAAGCAGCTTATCAGTATTTATATATTCTTCCCATGATCTTGTGTGCACCAAGACCCTTTTGTCAGAGTACATACCGTTCACTTCTTTTGAAAAATAGACACGAATGTAGCATAACTTATGCTACATGTCG